TTATAGAGTCGACCGCTTATGCTGTAGAGAGGTCAGCCCCAAGTCCACGGCCACGGTGGTTGACTTCAGCGTGGTCGTTGGCGGACCTGCCGTGCATGGCGGTGTCGGGACTCGTGGGCAGCGAGACAAACGTGCGTGGCGAGATCGCGTCCTGTCTACTTCCGGGGAGTCCGTGGGGAGCCCCCCTGCTGCTCAGGTGGACGTACTGGCGCCCGAGCTGGTAAACGAAGGTTGCTTCAATGTCTGGAGTCCCGTCAACATACAAGTTGTGGATCAGGCGCTAGACATGGAGCGGGGGACAGGAGACTCTCATGTTCCGGCGAGCTTTAGCGAAGTCCGTAGTGGCGGAGCCATTGGAACGGTTGGTTCAGTCCGCAGGCCTTCTGAAGGAGTCGGTGAGTTGAGCAATGAAGGCGTGAGCTACCCGTCTCAGTTCGGTACTGCTGTGCCTTTTCTGCATCCACCACTAAGGTGGTACCTAGTGGACCGGTACGATGGTTGCGTCGTGAGTGTGCAACACCGGGAAGGCGTCTCAGGCAGGCCCTTGAGCCCATCGCGTGTGCGTTGGCTCCGGTCTTGTGGGATCGGGCGAGAATCGGAGCAGGAGGCGGCCATGTCCCATCGGCAACACCACATACGCAAGTGTTTTTGTTTCTCGAGTATTTTGCACACCGGGAGATGACACGACGACCACCACCGCGATTGGTCGTACCCCCCCCCCCCCCCCCCTTCCATCGCTGCTGTGTATGCATCCGTGTTCACGCATACCCCCGCCGCTCACCATCGCTCTTTTACCCCGTTTCGTCCAGACCCTGGAGCGAGCCTACCTGCTCAAGCTCGGGGACAAGGTCATGGAGCGGCCGCAGTACATGTTCATGCGAATCGCTATCGGCATCCACGGCGAGGACCTCGAGGTACCTATATCCCAACCACTGCTTGACCTGCGGCCTGCCGGAATAATAGTAGGGTGATCCCGGGGGGAGGGGGGTGGATGCACTCAAGATGATTAAATTATGATCAAAAAAAGGCTTTAATCCCTAAAAATAGAATTATTTTATGTAAACGCGTACCGTAGTAGTCGTTAGACCATTGCAGACCTCGCATCCCTACAATGCTGCCGGGACGGAGCGGTATGCGTTCCGGGTTTTCGCCGCCGAGGCTACGTTTCACAAGGATGCACCAGAGGCTGGTCATCTCCCCTGTACTCTCTCGGAAATTTTGTGTGAACTCTTTGGGGCCGTCTCAAGCGGCGCTCGATACGTAGTATACCACCCTCGCGTCGGGCCTATCGATTGATCGATTATCTAGTCCACGTGTACCCGCGAAAAGATCCACGGAGCCCCCCCCACCCACCCACCCACCCACGGAGCCTCCCGCCTGCTGCCCGCCCACCCATCCTTACCAGTTCTATCTCGGTTTCTTTCTCCCTTGTATTTTTTTCGTTTTCTTGTGAAATTTTGCGCTTGGGTGGGAATGTCCTGCTTCGTCTTACAGGCGGCGTTCGAGACGTACCACCTCATGTCGGAGAAGTGGTTCATCCACGCCTCGCCCACCCTGTTCCACGCCGGCACGTGCCAGCCGCAGCTGTCGAGCTGCTTCTTGCTCACCACGAAGGAGGACAGCATCGCCGGGATATACGACACTCTCAAGCAGGTACGGTTGGGGGGATGACGAGAGAGAGTCGTTCTGTGACGTCGGTATGTATGATGTCAGCATTTTTTCATTGTGTGAAACGAGAGCCTTTCTTCTGCGAGGTCGGCGGCATGTATTTGATTGCTAAATTTGGAAGAGGGCAATTCTGTTTGGTCGGTAGGTTTCCATTCCTGAGCGCAAACGAGAGCCATTCTGTGGTTTGGGCATAATTTCATCGCAAAATGTAAACCAGCGCCATTCTGCGAGGTCGTTTTCTTTCTTTTTTTGCATATATGTACATTGCCGAATTTTAGCGCCTTGCTCCGCGGTGTGTTGTTCGTCGATCGATGATGCACCAACAACGCACACCCCCCCCCCCCCCCCCCCTACCCCAATTCCTCCCCCCCCCGCCCGCCTTCCTTCCCGCT